TAAACAAAATTATTATTATTATTATAGTAACAAACAAACCCAGAAAGATGTCTGACAAAAGAATTTAACTGAAACAGAGTTAATATGAACACTAGTGCCCAAATCCCTATTTTCATAACCTTCTTCAAGTCAAGCAGCCTGCGACCTCTGTGGCAACACTTGAAGCAAACAATAAATCCCAAATTTTAACTTTCATTCACTTGTTGGCAATGTAACTTCAGAATTAAAATATTTAGTGTTTTCTTTGAATCAGAATAGTATTAACACAGCTGTAAATACTTGTCCTATATATCCAAATGTTTGACTTGGGCCTATACAAATTTTCTAGCTGTAGTTACTACGGTTGCAACTTAAAAAATGGATATTTTTAATATATTGTCAGCCAGTCAACACGGTATTTACAAACGTCTATAAAAATCAGTGGTTTATGTTCATTGACTTCCCTAATTCCATGAAATATTTTAAACTGCTTTAGTATTACCCACGCCAGAGAAGCTTGTTACAAGTGGCACAATCTCTGCTCAGCATCTCTAGGACCATCACACTGTCCCGATGTTACCTTTCGATACAATCCCATTTCTGCCAAAAGCTTTCTTTTGAAGTCTGGCAAGAGCTTCCAACTCCCAGTTAAATTCTATTTATTAGACTAATAAAAAACATACACATAAAACAGTCACATAATTTAGAGTCTTCCTGTCAGGCAGTTTCAGGCTCTGGCACAGCTCAAAACAATTAGAAGACCAGAAATCAGATTCTACCTTATTTTTGAAGTGCACTTCAATGGGCATAATGAAGCCTGCGTAGCCAGACTCCTCCACTTTGTAAGGGGGCTCCTTGCACACTGAAAAGAGAACAGACAAATGTTAACTTTGAATATGATGCAACTGAACCTGAGCCAAAAAGAAGTTGCAAGATGAGAAACGCGCCTCTGACAACTCAGGACACATTTAAAACACTGACCTTTGTTGAGGAAGAAAAAAAAAAAAAGCCAAGTAAGATGGTGGTCAAAGCCTTAGTTAAGAACATAAAAATCTGTTCTTAGCTCCTCCCATGGAGAGGAAACATAAAACACTCCATGCCAGAGGCTCTGTAAGATTCTCTCCCTGCTTTTGCAGTGAGATACAATTACATTTTTGTGCTGTTCCACAACAATGCATACTGCCAGCTAAAGCTGTCTTGAAAAGAAAAAAAAAAAAAGAAGATCCAAACAGTGCGAACTGAAAGAGTACGGAAAGGTAAAATTTACTTTCATGATCCTATTTATTAATCAAAACATTATACCACATAAGTGGATTTTTTTTTTTCCTTGAAACGCTCTATCTCTGTAATTACGTAACAGCCGCGCTACAAGCTGCTTTATCCCGACGTCGTAACAAACCTGAAGGGCAGGTATGTGCTGCTATTTATTTCGCACACAAGGAAACGCAGAAAGGTTAAACAGTTTGCCGCTAAGGTCACGGCGCTGCTTAGTGCAGAAACATCGCTTACAAAACCTCATTGCTTCGAGAAATTTATCTGCGTGCTTCCTGCCTCAGTTCCCCCCGGCCTGTTACTTGCTGTATCTTCACGGTACTGAATCTTTCCTATCAGCTCCCCCTGCATTTCAGCGCAGCGACCGCCGACTCGGAGGGTTCTAGATCATTTCTTTGGCCGTGACAGAACTATACGCAACAGCTGCCAGGAGAAACATGAGACGACCAACCCAGATCTTCTCCCTCTCACGAACCGGATACACTTGCATATTATTTACGCACTACAATATATGTAAATAAAGTCAATTAGGTAATTAGAGGAATTCGGTGCAAATCTTTGTACTTTCTCAAAAGAATTCCAAGTAATTAATATGATTAGGAAGCAGCACCTCAAACCTAAGAAGCACACAAATTATTTTTCTTTAATGTAGATATATTATCCCCAGCTCTAAGCACTTCTACCATCATTAAGGCACTAGAAAGCAGTACTCAAAATTCAACTGTGGAAAAAAAAAAGAGCATATCTAAAAATAATAAACATCTCTAGACTTCCTTTAACTTGAGTTTCATATAAGAACCCTATCATTTAGGGGGAAAAGCCTGAAACCAAAGAACAGTGCCAATATGGCAGCCGGAATCTCAAGACTATTATCTGCCAAGCCGCCTTTGTTCCTTTGCCACTCTATTCTAACAAATTAAAATTACTACACAAGCAATCTGCTGGCAGCGCTAGCCTACCTTCACCAGAAGATCTGGCTCCAAGGAAGAGCGAACCATCTGAAGAAACCCTTCAGATAAATCTAGAAACAGCACGCATAGGTCATACCATTTAACCCAGGCACATTCCGCTGGTGTTCCCAGCAAGCTTAAGTCGTGCAAAACCTAGAGATTGGCAAAAATCGTCTCTTTAAAAGTAGAGGACGTGGTGACCGACTGAGCAAAGACCGTGCGCTATCCCAGCACGGTTGTTTGTAATAAAGTAATTACAGCAGATGACAAGAATTGCAGCACAGCAGATTGTAACTTTTATTCTATAAATTAGGTTTCAGCTCAGTATTGCACTTGCTTATCATACATCAGTTTTACTACATCAATTTGAAGGAGATATTATTAACATACAGACTAGATTCACATCCTTATGAGCTGAACACCTCCGAGTTTCCACTGTGGACTCTCACAAATAACCAACGTAGCAGGTAGCCCTAAGACAGCCTGCGTGACCAGCAGCCTTCCAGAGAAATATTTCAAAGAACGCAGGTTACGAAGTAATTTACAGCGAAGCTCTTGAGCAGCCAGCATTCCTTCTAACCCTACATATTAACAACAACACTGGAGATGCAGTTACACAATCTTAAGCAAATCTAACTCGGCGCTGCTGCCGAAAAGGGCAATTCCTGCCTCTCCACCTCAGCCATGCGTTCTTGCTGCACCGGGTCAAGAATAAGGTTTGTGTTGCTGCGCAGTCGGAAAGAGCAAAGTAAGATCCAGCAGAAAATAACACGACAATTCGTACAGCCTCCCCGACCATGCTGACTGCAGAGGACTCGCACACATACGTGTGGCTGGAATGTACAGCGAGCGGCAAAGAGACCATCACCCCTTTGACATCACTGATTTCTGCTGACCCAGCATCTGCGTCTAGAAATTGCAGGAATCCTCACGGCTACTTAATGACAAATGCAGAAGTCTACACGCTCCAGTGTGTACACCAACCCCGTACCTGAGTATCACCAACCACATGCTTCCAGCTTGTGTTGGCAAATATTAAGAAATCAAACCCATTTCTCCTGTTTTGTAACATGAATTATCTTCTGCTGTCACTGTCTTGAGAGCCTGCATGTCCTAGCGCTTAAATAAGAGGAGAAAGCACCTCACCTCCAGCCCTTTGATCAGAAGAAAGGTCCCATTCTCCCTGACCTTCCTCAAACAAAGACAGCAAAGGTTAGAGCTGAAGTGCACGCAAAGTACATTCTGCTCCTCTTTAAGAAGATATTTTACAGAAAAGTGACAGTCCAAGACAACCTTGACTTGCGAGATGCTCTTTCATACAGAGAAGACTTAATAACGAGTCTTCAAAAATACACTCACCTCGTTTGGGTTTTGGGAAGCTCTCATGTAGCCGAAAGACCACCCTTTCCACAAAATGCTGGATGTCGCATTGCTCCGGGCCCCGGACAAACACCATCCAGTCATGAGTAAACCCTTCAGTCGTGGGCTTTTTCCGCAGTTGGGCTCGGTGCCCCAGCTCCAATTTGACTTGGACCGTGCACTGGTTTAGGACAGAAGTAAAACCGTAAGTAAAACGAAATGGCTTACATGTGAAATGCATAATGCTGAGCCCCACCGACAGAAGATGCTAGATCACCGCAGGGGAGGAATACAACAGCCTCCACAGAGAGATTAGTCTCATTCTGAAAACTACAGTGTTGTCAACAGAAAAGGTCTCATAAAAATAGCTCCCAGCACCATTTCATACCTATTTTCTGCCTAATATTAGCATCGTAGAAAAAGTAGCTTTAGAAGAGGTATAGGTTTATCTGCTTCACTTATCTAAATTGTCAGCAAAGCCCTAATTGCGGAATCTTTATTTCTAGAAAGTGTCAGAGACAGAACTTGATGTTCACAGCTTACAGAATTCACAGCGCTGACAGAAAACTAATCTTAAACCAGGAAAAATTAGATCACGAATGGGTGGTTTATGATATTCCCTAGAATATGCAATCCGTGAGAATAAAACTATAATGTCCCTTGTGTTCTTTTAAATAAATTTTATTAACGCGCTTTCAAAGACCAAGTTAACACACAGCATGCCTGTACAATACCCAGCTCTAAAATGACCTAATTCTGATTTGTGCTCCCGAATCCTACTCTAATCACTAAATAACACTGAAGGTGTGTTCAATGTCTCACTCAAAGCACAAAAATCCCATTAAACGTCTTAAAAAGACCAGATGAAATTAATTGTGAAGATCCACACATTACTGCAGACTTCACAGCAGAAGAAAGCAAATGAATGAAACAGATGGAACAGGGGAAAGGCAAATGTGATTTACACACAAGTTAAAGCAAGCAACTCTTAGGGCAAGATTTGCAGGGACAGGGTATAACAACACCTAAGGTATCCAACTACTTACTAATTTTGTGCACGTATGTTATACAAACCAGACCAGCAGCATCGCAATCTCACCAAGACTCATCAAAACTGAGCTTCAGCACATGGAAGCTTCTAAAAAAGAGGGGGCAGCTTTTAGTGCTTACCCCCTTTCTTCACATAAGACTTGGAAATAGCATCTTCTTGTCTCTGGCAGTTCTCAGTTACCACTGGGAGAGGCAACAGTATTTGTTATTACCCATATTAGAGGCAGACATGGAGCCAAACTGAGGGCATGTGGAAAGAGAAAGCTTCCTTAGCTCTAGACCAATGTCCTCGTTTTCCCACTGAGGAACTGCAACAAGGAGCATGACCACGATTAACGCTCAAAAAATGCTGTGTGTATCCAACCTGACTGCTTATGGGAATGTGATTTTCAGAGCATAGTTAATACTTCCTAAACCCAAAAAACTCAGTCGCTCTATCTCACATTGTTTTCTTTCCAAAAAGATCACACAGGAGATCTACCGAGTACCAAGCATGAAAGCTCGACGTCCCAAATTGCAGCCCAGTTCTAATTTCAAATACAACCCTTAACGCGCTCTTTCAAGGCAGTCACTCTCATAGCAAGAAACCTTTAGCTGCCATCCAATATATCAATTCTAAGACACAGAGATGAGCTCCTCTAATTGCTTCACCAGCATTACTACAACATTTCTTTACCTTCCTCTGCAAATTTGCCTGGCAGGCCATTTTTCCCCCCATTCTACGCCTTAGGGCTTATCTACACTGGCTCCATCTCGCTCTTGGGCTAAAAATGAAGGTACGCAGGCAGCTGCTCTTTCATGTCGTATTAAGGAATAAGAAAAAGGGCAAGGTGCGGTTCTCTCAAAGCACAGCAATCTCTCCTACAGCGGAAGAGCATTATGTGGAGACCGTCTGCCTAAATCCTAAGCTCGCAGAGCAGAGTGCTTGCAGGCCTGCTTTATCTGGGATACTTCCCACAGTGTTCACACAAGCGTTCGCATCAACGGAGCCAGTCTGTTCCGCAGCTTCACGTTATCGATTCCATAATTACCCTTTAAATTGTGCTACTGTTGCCAGTTACTACCCCTCTCCAGAGAAGTGCAAATGACTGTCAGTCTACAGAATTTGCCTTTCTAGTTGAAACGGCTGAGAAATTTTAGCTGAGAAACAGATGGGACTACGTGGAAGAGAACAAAATTAAACATAAAAGAGAACTGTTTAGCTGAGAGTGAAAGTTGTACTTGCTCTACTCCTCACATATCGGTCCAATTAACAATCGCTACGAATTAAGCCAGAAGTTGAAACACATTTGAAAACAAGATCTCCCAACATAACAAAACATCCAAAGTAGCTCCAGTAAAAATTGAGAGGATTCTTCTATTTTTTCTTCAAGCGTGTCTCTCAACAAAGGGAAATCAGGATCCTATTCAAACAATTTGTAATAATGCAAAGGAGTCTGCTTTTCAGCTTCCCAATAAACACTCTGAAGGGCTGTTCTGGGTTTCTGTTTGATGTGCTAATTGCCTGAAAGCCATAATCAGCTTCCATCCGCTCTCCTTTGGCTGATTATTCCAAGGATAGCGGGGCTCACCTCCTGAACCTCAGGCTCGTAGGTAACCTGTTACCAGCTCGCACACAAAAGGCCTGCTCTAGATCACCTCAGGTAAACTTCCA